CCTTGTGCTTTCCGACCCCAGACCTCAGTGGGTTATGATCGACCACCACCCCACCTTGGTGATCGTGCAAGATGTGGTGGCCGAAAATGACATTTTGGCCCAGGCACTCAATGCCGCCGGCATTGTCCCGCAGCTCCAGCCCCAACCGGACCCCCAGCAGCCCCAGCTTGACACCGAAGAAGAGGTCGACACCCACCAAATTGGGGCGGACCGTATCCTACGATACCTCGAGGCGCACCAGCCCCCCGTCCCCCCTCAAGCGGGCCAGCCTGGAGCCGCTGACGACAACGGGCAAGAGGACGAGGACCTCTCCGAGGAAGACTCCCGCAGACAACCAGCCAGGCAGGCAGGACCACCCCATCCTCCGGTCTGCCCATCCAAGCCCCCACCCCAAGTCCAGTGGAACAGGGTGAGCCAAGTTTTCGGGTACTACCCGCCATGCGATCCCGCCGCGCTCCAGTTTAAGTGCACACGGAGCACCGTCGTGAACAGCCGCCCCCCCCCCCCCCCGCCCACGCAAGTCCCTGTTTTAAGGGAAGCAGTTAAATCGATGCTCCAATCCGGCGTTCTCAAGAAGACCGTTCGCGGCAGATACCTCAGCCCAATCCAGCTAGCCCCGAAGAGCGTGACAGAGAGCCGCTTCATCCTCAATGCAGCCGCCCTCACGCCCCACATGCAAGCTCCGAAATTTCATTTAAAGCCCTTGCCTGTGGCAATCTTGGAGAACCCCCTGCCCAAGAAACCTTTTTTCACCAAGATCGACCTCTCCGAGGCTTACTACCATTTTTCTTTAAGCGAACAAACCCAGAAACTCACCACTTTTAAACTCGACAACGAGTACTACTGTTTTACCCGCCTCCCCTTCGGGTTGAGGCCGGGTCCTTTCGTCATGCAGCAACTTGCAACTGCGTTGACACGCCACTTACGCGCGGTCGGGGTGTGGGCCTGGAGCCGCTTGGACAATTTTTTGTTAGCAAACCCCGACCCCGCATTTCTTGCCCGCGTCACACGTGACTTTGTTCGTGACCTGCAATCCTGTGGAATTTGTGTGAACCCCAAGGACACAAAAACTGAGCCCGTTCGCAACATTACTTTCCTCGGGTTCCTCCTGGAAGGAGACGACGAGATGATCGGCCACACCGGCCCCAGGAAGCAAGACCTGGCAAAGATCCTCCAACAACTCAAGAACCCGTTACCACTGAAGACAGTAGAGCGCTATGTCGGGCACCTCGTTTTTTTATTTTTCGGTATACAGAGGACATTACCACATGCTAGGCCCGCTTTTTCGCCTTCTACATAAACCAAGAAACCTCCCAGAAGGTTACGTCGACACCCTCCACCAAGTCTGGTTGACCTTACCACACCGCACCCCATGGAGAATCCGTTCTCCAACGACCACCATTGCCTCAGACGCGAGCCCAACAGGGATGGGACTGGCAACCGCCCAAGGGAACTTGGCCATCATCACAAGACCAGCATCCGACATCTACCTCCGCGAGGCAAAAGCTTTGGCACTCGCGGCCCTGGTCTGCCCCGACCACTCGATCATCCTCTGCGACAATCAAGCGGTCGTTCAGGCCATCACCAGGGGCACGGGAGGTCTCTGCCGTGGCAGCTCGCCACGGCGATTTCTGTATTGTTTGTCACTTTTGATACCCTTTGCCGGTTGGCTCTCGACTGATCCCCCCTCTCAGACTCCCGGTGCTTTTATAGGCACGCCGGGAGTGCCCCCTGGCGGCGCCCCCTCATTGGTCGGTTTTGGGACCATGTGCGTGTGAACCGTGAGGGAGCGTCGGCAGGGTTGGCGAGAGTAGGGATCCATCGAGCCCATAGGCTTTTATTGACAAACAATACAGAAATCGCCGTGGCGAGCTGCCACGGCAGAGACCTCCCGTGCCCCCTGGTGATGGCCTGAACGACCGCTTGATTGTCGCAGAGGATGATCGAGTGGTCGGGGCAGACCAGGGCCGCGAGTGCCAAAGCTTTTGCCTCGCGGAGGTAGATGTCGGATGCTGGTCTTGTGATGATGGCCAAGTTCCCTTGGGCGGTTGCCAGTCCCATCCCTGTTGGGCTCGCGTCTGAGGCAATGGTGGTCGTTGGAGAACGGATTCTCCATGGGGTGCGGTGTGGTAAGGTCAACCAGACTTGGTGGAGGGTGTCGACGTAACCTTCTGGGAGGTTTCTTGGTTTATGTAGAAGGCGAAAAAGCGGGCCTAGCATGTGGTAATGTCCTCTGTATACCGAAAAATAAAAAACGAGGTGCCCGACATAGCGCTCTACTGTCTTCAGTGGTAACGGGTTCTTGAGTTGTTGGAGGATCTTTGCCAGGTCTTGCTTCCTGGGGCCGGTGTGGCCGATCATCTCGTCGTCTCCTTCCAGGAGGAACCCGAGGAAAGTAATGTTGCGAACGGGCTCAGTTTTTGTGTCCTTGGGGTTCACACAAATTCCACAGGATTGCAGGTCACGAACAAAGTCACGTGTGACGCGGGCAAGAAATGCGGGGTCGGGGTTTGCTAACAAAAAATTGTCCAAGTGGCTCCAGGCCCACACCCCGACCGCGCGTAAGTGGCGTGTCAACGCAGTTGCAAGTTGCTGCATGACGAAAGGACCCGGCCTCAACCCGAAGGGGAGGCGGGTAAAACAGTAGTACTCGTTGTCGAGTTTAAAAGTGGTGAGTTTCTGGGTTTGTTCGCTTAAAGAAAAATGGTAGTAAGCCTCGGAGAGGTCGATCTTGGTGAAAAAAGGTTTCTTGGGCAGGGGGTTCTCCAAGATTGCCACAGGCAAGGACTTTAAATGAAATTTCGGAGCTTGCATGTGGGGCGTGAGGGCGGCTGCATTGAGGATGAAGCGGCTCTCTGTCGCGCTCTTCGGGGCTAGCCGGATTGGGCTGAGGTATCTGCCGCGAACGGTCTTCTTGAGAACGCCGGATTGGAGCATCGATTTAACTGCTTCCCTTAAAACAGGGACTTGCGTGGGCGGGGGGGGGGGGAGGGGCGGCTGTTCACGACGGTGCTCCGTGTGCACTTAAACTGGAGCGCGGCGGGATCGCATGGCGGGTAGTACCCGAAAACTTGGCTCACCCTGTTCCACTGTACTTGGGGTGGGGGCTTGGATGGGCGGACCGGAGGATGGGGTGGTCCTGCCTGCCTGGCTGGTTGTCTGCGGGAGTCTTCCTCGGAGAGGTCCTCGTCCTCTTGCCCGTTGTCGTCAGCGGCTCCAGGCTGGACCACTTGAGGGGGGACGGGGGGCTGGTGCGCCTCGAGGTATCGTAGGATACGGTCCGCCCCAATTTGGTGGGTGTCGACCTCTTCTTCGGTGTCAAGCTGGGGCTGCTGGGGGTCCGGTTGGGGCTGGAGCTGCGGGACAATGCCGGCGGCATTGAGTGCCTGGGCCAAAATGTCATTTTCGGCCACCACATCTTGCACGATCACCAAGGTGGGGTGGTGGTCGATCATAACCCACTGAGGTCTGGCGTCGGAAAGCACAAGGTCTAGGTGGAGGGGGATTCCCTCCGGTGCGTGGAGATACTCTTTTAGTCCTTGGACACCGGTGTGCATTGGGGTCGGGGGGGGTGGGCAACAAGGCTGTCGCTGGAGACAGCGAAGGAGGCGACTGAGGCGCAGTTACGGGTGGCCCTGGTAGGGGCAGGGGTGGGGTTGGTAACCCCTGTAATTCACCAGTTGTTGCCGGTGCTGGCGGCTGCGGCTGCTTCTGCCCCTCTCTGTGCCGAGGAACATGGCGGCGCCAGAAGTCGGCGGCCGCAACCTTGGCAGTAGCGAAACGTGGCTGTCCGCGCCAGTACATCGCAGACGAACTAAGGTAGCGGACAATAATGCTTTCGCATTCACAACTCATAAGAAATGCTTAAATGTCTTCGGACGTTTTTTTTTTCTATTTTTGTTTCCTTTTTGGGGGTTTTAATCTTCATTCCGAACGTTTCCTTCCTTTTTCCTGGGAATTTTTAGGTTAAGTGACGGGAAGGGCTGACGCATTGAGGGTGGCATCGATGGCATCATTAAATTTCGGTTGCTAGTTGAGAGAACTCTACTACAGTGAACTATAGTTCACTGTTACTGTACTGTCTCCGTGCCTACGTGTTTTATTGTTTCGTGTTCTTCAAATCATCTTTACCAATTGGCTCAAAGTTAATTTTCGTTCTCCGATGGTCTTGAGGTTTCTGTGTCGGATTAAAACACTTTCAACGCTCCGGTTCGATCGTGTGCGAACATCACAACCAGTCGGCATCGTTTATGCCGGCGGCCGGCAGTCAACTTCTGACGAGAAGAGGTGTAAACACGCGCCTTTATTCGTTCGTTAGGAAAACAGAAAAAAGGGGGTTGGTTTTGTTGACGTTGTATAAGATGGCACTACAGAAGCTCTATTTAGTGAATCTTGACCGGGGAAAAACGTCGTTGGCACATTTACTCGGATTCAAGCTTTAAGCTCAGCAAATAATTGCGAAACCTGCTCATTCGTTACAATGATTGCATAGTGGAATCAAAGTATTCAAAAATAAAAAAAAGCTTTTTTTTTTACTTTTGAGAGGATGACCGAAATAAAAGGGACACGCTGCATATCCTTGCAAAAACATAACATTTTAGTCGCGACGTTTGAACAGTCTTTGATTGGTCTGCCAGATCATGGCAAAATTGTTTCACTCCGTAGATGAGAAATGTTTCTAGTGCAGTACGAATGCTAATTTATGGCTTTTAAAGTGCACCACGCAGCGGATAGTAATTCACGACCTCGTGCAGGTGTGATGATTATCCAGATTGAACAGGCTGAGGTGACGGCTAAATCCAGGATCCCGGGCTTCTGCAGATCGAGCCTCCAATTTACGTGCTATGAGCGGTGGTGCATTAACACAATCGGTTATTGACACCACTTTAAAAATTTAGCGTTGCCCTTTTCAATGACCTTGTCTGCTTAACAAAATAAAGTGCGCAAAGTTATCTTTAAAAAGGCGTTTTGTGTTTGCTGCGTTTTGAGGAGACACTTACTGTCCATCCGCCGCCATCGGAGTGCATGTCACACGTTACATTTACTGGATCGTCGCGAATATAAATTTCATATTCACCGCTGTTGCTGTTCTCCCTCCTTTTTTTCTGGGAACAGTTTGTCGTTCGATTTCCAGCTGAAAAATAAAGGGGCGTGAAGCAGACATTACTTATCAAGGTTCAAAGAAGAGGGACTTTTGAAACATCCGCCGGCGGTTCGACAGCGGTGCGCTACACCGATTGTTAATTTATGACAAACGGTCAGAGATACGAAGTAAACGACCCAAGAGAACTTTGCTAGAAATGCAAACATAAAAAAAAACCGCCAGTCTTGTATATGTTCCGCCTAGGGAAAAAAAAAAAAAAAAAACACGCCAATACATACGGACTCGAACCTTGATGTTACTGCCAACTCTCTGCGCTTGATTGAATGAATAAGGTGTTGAGCGCGCGCAGAGAGATGGCGGGTGGCGGACGGCGGACGTAAAGCCCCTTGATAAAAGCGTTTTTTACAAGTACCACCAACCATTGTTGTGGAACCGCGCGAGACTAGTGCCACGAGCGGGTGCTCCGCCGCCATTCGCTTCTTAGGACCGCTCACTTCAGTGCTGCGCCGCCATTCGCTTCCAAGGGCCGCTCGAGATACGGGTCTCGTGCACTCGCGCATTTGACGCTACTTGCACGACAAACGCAAACATATCGAGGGGCTTTAGGCGGACGCCGTGACGTTGCGCTTTCGGCACTACTTGATTGGGCCCTTGGCTCGTACCGTCGGTTACGCTCAAATTTCACGTTTTTTTTGTGTGTGTGTTTTTTACAAGGTTTCGGGGGAAAGTGGAGAAGGCAGATTCACTCAGCCTGTTTGAGTTTCTTAAATTATGTTATAATCTCTCGAATGGTTCGGGCTACTTGGAGAACAAATGGTATCCACGAATGATTATCGCATCCTATTTTAATTCGATGGGGCAAAAACAAATCAGCATCCAGTGGCGACGCAGTGTGTTGAATACGCGCCAGCTGTGGCATCACCTGTAAGCATTTTGTGATATGCGGTCGGCAAGAGCCGCCAGAACGTTTTTTATGTGGGCTATATAACGTGATCACTCCATAAACGATCAGTAATCTTTCAAAAAAACGTTTTTACTCAGCGAAAGAGATGACAAATAAAAAAAGTATCTTTAAAATCCGCGAGCGCTGAGCTCGATTAGGCGACTCCGTAAGTACGTGGGCGGCTCTGCTTGCTACCCCCGAGAAGCTTCGTAGGCTTAATAAGATGGGCGTGCCTTCACGGGGTGCGAAAGTTTGAAGCTCGATGGACGCATCAAAGTTAGAGTTAATTAAACTTCAGGACGACTTCGTGTATGAGCTCTGTATGATCACGTGCTCACCGGCAGCCGTACCCGCTCGAAACAACGGATGCCAAATGTAGAAGCGGTGTACAATGATAACGAGTTCGAAGCCCGAATGTTTATTCGGAGTGCGCTACTGTTTCAAACTCGTAAACAGCGTAAATTAGGAATCATCCGCTACTTCCTTCGGAGCTATAAGTAAGGGAACGTGGAAGGCTGCTGCGAAACGCGAGTGCATTAAATCCGTAAAGCGAGCCAGCAGAAACTTTGACAAACACGACATTTCTTTTCTTTTTTTTTTTTATTGTGGTGATTTTTTTTTTGAGCCGTTGCTTTGATTTTACTGTGCTGGATTCTATGACGGGGCGTGGCAAAGTCGACGACGACCAACGTTCTACGCCGGCGCGAGTTGAGTTTCCCGACGCCTTAGAATAAACGGCCCAGGTCCATTGGTAAAGCCGATCGCATTCGGAGCCTGAGCTTACGACGTTGCAAGAGGCTCTATCGACTAGGCCGACTATGCCTGCACGTCCTCAGCGCGGCAGCCTTGAGCCCAACCCACAGCCTATTGGCCAGCCGTTTCGCTCCAACCCCCAATCATTGATATCTTCTGACTGTGGTGGCTGGAATGTCTGACTTGGTGTGCGGAGGAGGAGAATGGGAGTCAAAATGCATGTGTATATTGTACAGTCGGCTGGATTTCGGGAAAGGGGTCTGAAACTCAATAAGCCTCCCCACTGGCTGTGCCCCCCCCCCCCTCCCCCCTCCTTATCCCCTGAATTGTTCCGACGCTTCTGAGGGCATCTTGGAGAAACTTTCTTAATCGTACTCGAGCCTTCGCTGGCAGGTGTGAAACGATTCCCGTGAAGGAGCGGATGAGCACGACCGGCCCCGACGAGCCCGGACTTTAAGTTTCAAAAGATTGGAGGATTGAAAAGCTCGAGGCGTGTCTAGCTACTCTCTAACAAATCCATTAATCAAGGAGGACGCGAAGATCCAGCAATCAGTCCGCTTTTTTTTTTGCATTGTTGCTTTACTTAAAAAAATGTTTTTAGCAGGCAAGGCTAACGTTGTTCACTCGGTGGCGTCACTAAGGGGGGAAGGGGGGGGGGGGGGGGGGGTCGCGATGGGTCACCGCCCCGAGTGCCACTGACCCTAGTGACGTCACTGTATGCGCTCATTCACTATTAGAAGGGAAGCACAATTACATTGGATACACAAAAACAAAAAAACAAAAAAACAAAAAAACAAAAAAATAGCGAGCTTGAAATATTCTGAAAAAGGATAGTGGACGTTATTGGCGGCGAAGTGTTTTGGTGGCGCCTTCCTATGGTTCCCTCTCGTGACGTCATTACCTTGCGAACAACAAGTTCGATGGTGTTTGTAATGAGAATGGTGGAAGCTTTAAATCATTCCGCTTTGAAACCAACACTGCCGATGCCGTCAAAATTGAAGTTGGTAGATTACTCTTATTTCTGTCGATGAGAAAACCTTTGCTGACGTCATAGGCAGCATTCGGCCAATCGTGGCAGGCCGACCACAGCGACACTTTCGATCGCGCACGTCGCCAATACAGTATGTACATCACGGCACAATGCGGGTAGCGCTAAAAAGCAATTCCCAGTTTTTCCTCTATTTCTCTTAAAACCTAGGAGCTCTAATACAAGACTACTATGATGGTGGGAAATGCTCACTTCGGATTCTAACCTATACTTCGTTAGGTCCAGACGCAGCTGATGCTAGAAGCGCGAGCTCCGAGCTTTCAGCGTCTTGCACGCGCGTTCATGCAGTGCATTTGCCATGCACGCGCGTTCATGCAGTGCAAGCAATGTTCAGGGCCACATACTCGTGCTTGTAGAACCTGCTGCGCCAGGACGACGGTGGCCAGTACTCAAGCTGAAGCGAAGTATAGCTCGTAAAACGTCGAGCTCGACAATAACCTTTCGAAATAAAACTAAAAGCAAATTAATTGTAGATATGGCTTTTGCACGAACGGTAGGGAGTTTTTGGTGGACCCTTTCCACTGTCCCGCAAAGTTCTCCGCAACCCGCTACGAGATCTGAGATTTTCCAGGCAAGGCCAGCTCCTCGCACGCGCAGTAGTAGCGTCTTCGTTCGGGAGAGCTTAGCGGCAGGAGGAAAAAGGCCTACGAAAACTCCATAGTGTCGCCTAGTGTACATCGTACCGGGCGTGTCACTGCCAAGGACCTAATGATTCCCCCTAACATTGTTCGGTCTACGTGGATCGATGAAAAGGTGGTCTCACGTTTGTTCGTATTGCAGGGGTCAAATATCGTGTAGGTTTTTGTCGACGTGGACTCTCTTTCGGTAATTTCCGGAACATTCCGAATACTGCCTTCCATAAAGACGTTCCCGGCCACAACAGGTATGAAGAGGAATGCGACGAACATGTTGAGATCTTTGTCGATGGTACGAGGGTTCTCATAAGTCGTAACCACTGCTCCTCTCCTGCATTTTTCGCTCTATATAGCATGAGCGCATCACGTGGATAATTCGAATGAGCACCTGCAACAAAAAAGTATAGTTTTTTTTTCTTTTTTTAGGCTCGGGGCAGAGATATGCCAGTGAGCTTTTGTCTTTAAAACAGCAATGATATTTTTGCGTCATTGCCTTTTAATAATCAACTTCTGCTGCTTTTTTGTTTATTTATTCTTAACCTTCTCGCACAGGCAATTGACCCTACTCAAAAGTCAAAGACATCGAGTGGCAGCCTAAGCAGCTCCAATACTACCGATCTAAAGGTTGCATTCACTGCTGGCGTTCGAATTGCAACCGCGAAGCTGATACGCTCGCTTTCATCATGACACGAGCTTGAAATTGTATTGCAGCCTTAAGCAACCGCGTTCGCCGCCGCTTTGCGAACGCGGTTCAACCGCCAGTGTGAATAAAATGTAATGGTCTCAATAAGGAAGCAATCTCGCCTATGTCACAGACCCTTGACCCCATGAATTCGCAGGCGGCGTCAACGACCACCTTGCTTGAATAAGGAGTATTCACTGGCGGCCATAGCTGTGTGCCCGACTGCTGAGCGCGTGCTGACGCCAAGCTTCTACAGTTCTTTCCCCGCGTGCATTCCGCACCCTCACGATTGCCGGTCTTAGCAGCCTATTAATGGGGACCTCGCTCCGAGCATGCGCTCTAAAGAGCACCCACAAATATGGCGTCCTGTGAATACTCCCTATAGACCAATCTCACAAAGCGTTCAGCGCGTTCAGCCGCCCTAACCTTTGTTCACAGGAGGCCTGACGGCCGTGCATGCGAGGGCTCGTACCGTCTCGTGCACCACACGCGCAGAGCTCCATCGGGGTTTCCGCGCGTGCAGAAAGACTGAAGTTCGCTCGATGCATTGCGGCAGCGATGGGGCGGTCATTGTGCCCGGTGAGAATGGTCTATTAATTCCCCACTTTCAGCTCTTCGCTTTTGGAAGGCGTCCGCTTTTTCCGCTGTGAAGAAGCTGCGTAGATGCCGCCATGAGAGCGTCTGGTTTGACCACTACCACCTAAAAGACAGGGCCTGCCCGTGACGTCATCGTGAGAAGATCCCCGACCCGCCCCAAGCCACAAACAGGCTAAAGCTCAACGAGAATTCGCCTCAATGCGACAGACGCGCCCCCTCTTGCGGTGGAATGTTTTAGGTAGATTTGGTTTGACTTTGAACAGGGTAGACGGACTGGTTATCGAAAAGGGTCTTTTGAATTCTAAACAAAGGCAAACTGGTCAGATTGCGTTTACGAAACAAACGGCCGGTGCGTTGGCAACAGCGGAAGCTCTGACGTAGCGTCGTGTAAAGAGAGCCAAGAGAGCTCTCGTCTGCTCCGCTCCAGCACTTCGTTTGTCTGCGTAAAGCCGCGGTCTCACTGCCACCACGTCATAGAAAAAGCGGTCCGCAGACGCTGTCGGGAGCGTGAGTCTTTATTGTATTACGGTCCTGTCATTTATTGGACACAAAAAAATGTCTGCCGACGTGCTGGAAGCCAGAACAGTGACGTCTCGTTAATATGAAAAGCTCCGTTAGCCCCAAAACAATCATCCATAACGTGAGTTTTCCCAAATAACGAGACAAAAATGCATGTTTTTTTTTTCCAGTTTTTTCCTGAAGATAGTTTCGATATAGCGGGGTGTTCGTGTTAACGGGGTATAGATTAATATGTATGAAGCACACATGCTTCGAGCATTCTTAAGGCGTGTTCACAAGCAATTGAGTTATTATGTCCGCAGCAAATAACGTCTTTTGTATAATGTATGAGCAGTGTGGATTAGCCGACTACCCGCTATATTGGCCGGTTCAGCAGTGTGTATCCTTCCCTCACAGCTGAGAATTTCGTCTAGCAAGCTGCAATGCTGCGAGTTAGCCCCTGCAGCCAAATAAATTTCACAAGAACTCATGGTGAACAAGTGCTTTTGTTGTTGAGTCTGATTCCGAATCGCTGTCTGAATTTTTTTTTTATTATTTATTTGAAAGTTTTCGTGGCTCCACTCAAGGACCCTTAGTAGGAGTGCGTACACCATACGTCCAAAAAAAAGTAGAGTCATAAATAGAAACAGGACAAGGATAAACTGCAGTAATTAAAATGTCCGCAGCAGTAATGAAATTTTCAAAAGGTGTTAAGGTGACACTATCGTTTGGGAGCTCATTCCAATCCTTAATTGCGGGAGTAAAGAAAGAACATCTAAAACAATCATTTATAAACCTGTGTTGTTTTAAAGCTCTAGTATAGTTTAGGCGTCGGGACCCTGTCGATAATGGTTGTAACTAGCGAGATCTTTCGATTTGAACAGTGCCGTTAAGAATATTTTCGTTCTTGTTTCCAGCGGCTGAAGTTGCGCCCTGAGCAGCAGTTCTCCAGATTAGGCAGCATTAAACGATGATTTTTAGTTTTATTGATCAAGTTTATGTTTTATTTGTGACGTTATGGTGGAGGTGCGGAGCAACGAAATCTATGCCCACGACGCGTGACACCTGTGAACACGATAACTCCGAAAAGGACGAACGTGAAGGCGGCGTCCTCGAAAACAACCCGGACTATGGATTCGGCTAAGCCCCTAGTTATGACCTCGACTATAACATGATGACAACATCGACGACGACACTGATGATGAAACGGATTGTGAACCGAGAGACAAACCCTGGCTACGACGTCAACAACCAACCGACTACGGCCTCGACGACAAACAGTGTCTTCGACCTTGACGACGAGGCTTACGACGGCACTCACCATGACACAGGCGACGACTCGAACGACGACATCGATGACGATCCCGACTACGACTTTGACGGACACCCTGACGACGACTTTGACAGCGACGCAAGGACGACCCAGACGATGACTTCAACGACAACCTCGACTACAACCTCGACGACGACTTTGATGTCGAACCCTATGACGACACCGACGAAGAGTGTGATGTCGATCACGTTGACGAACAGGACGACGACGCTCGGTTTTTCACTTAACGAGCGAAGGAAGTCCTCCATCTCGACCGGATTTTTGATTCAAGCCGAACAACTTGCTAACGATGGCCGGTACAATGTTTGTTGCCACGACGTCCAGTTCCAGTCCGGCAACCAAGTGTGCATCTGAACACCAATTCATCGTCGAAGCGAGTAACTTATTAAAGGGGTGCTTCGGCCTCAAGGTTATTCGCTATCTGAGGGACCTAACTGCAAGCCCTTGCCCTACGGAACATGAACGTTGTGACCCCGCACTCTGCAACCCGAAGGCGATTCACGTCGTCCGACTCGAACTGAACTATGCTCGATAGGACTCAGAAAATTAGTGTTTTAGGTGGTTCTGTAGTTTGCTCTTTTCTTGTTTTAAATTGTCAATTTCATTTCATGTTGCATTGGGACGATCCGTCTTTTCCAAGATGGGAGTAATGCCACACGCGAATAGGTACATTTGCAGCGTGCTCGACTCCAACGCTGCTGGCTAGGGCTTAAACCCCGCTAGCGCTTGTGTTTTTTTTTTAATTGTTTGCATGACTGGAATGTTGCATTTGACTCGAAAATCTTGTTTGTTTGACCTCAGAAACTTCTAGACACCCGCGTGCTTTCAAAAGGAGCTTCGCATGCCTACTTGAAACAGTAGTTCTTCCGTTAAAGTATGTGCGTTTTTTGTTAGTCTGTGTTTCTAGGCATAAATTCGCCGCATTAGACGTTATTTTATGTTTTATTAGTCAAGTTTATGCTTTTATTCGTGACAAGCTTACCTTCTGGATGTCAGACACAAGCATGCATGAACCCACTGAAAAAATAGTCCAAGTGCAGGCGTGCTGGTGTACGCTGAACACAATGGTAAACCTGATATTGGGGTAGGAAAACGGAAAAGGCGTAGGAAGACAGAAAAACAAACGGGCGATGTGTCAAGACGTTGCCAGCTCTTCTGTCCTCCTTTGCGTTTTCCGTTTTCCTACCCCGGTTTCAGGTTTACCATCATGTTCGGACCCACTGAGTTTGGTAATTTAGGTGCTCTTTGTTCGTTCGCTTTTCGATCCATTCTGGACACTTTTCTTTAATCAGTGGTTTTATTTGAAAAATATTATAATCCAATTTTTTCTTTTATAACTTGTCGTGATTAGGACATGTAGATACCTTGGTCAAAGATCCGGTGGCCTCGCGGGATGTGATCTCGGTGCAAGACATGGGACTCGAGGCGCGTGAAACGGAACAGGACAGTGCAGCCATGGCGGCGTGAGCCGCCGAACACCAGGCTCGAGAACTGAACAGTCGTAACTATGACTCGGCCCCTTTCTCCGGACAAGCGGTGAGCGCCAAGTTTACATTTGGCGTCACAACGTAAGGCTCGCCACTTGTCTGAGGTTTGCTTGTTCGTGGGCTATGCTGTTGAGCTAAACCTGGCGGCCGTGCATGGGGAAGACATATTGCGAACAGGAGATCGGCCATACCTGAGCTTTAGGGTCTGGTTCAAGCGCCGCGGAAGCTAATCTCTGCGACCTGAAAGCTGTGAGGAGCGCTCTCTTCCTGGAGCTAATAATCTTCCGGTACTCGAACGGGCAGGCCTCGGAGACATTCATACCATCGAAAAGAGTGAGCGCCACCGCTTCCTTCCCTTCGTTGTCCAAGCTCTTCGGTGGCGTCGGTAAGAGTAGGCTACACCCATTGCAGATATGCTGTCTGACATGATCGTCAAGAGCCTCATGTTGCGAGACAAGATAATATCAAGCTTGTGGACTCTGAAAACGGAGAGAGGTTTTATGTCACTTGCGTTTATGAAAAAGGTATCGCCGTGACGCTTTGTCCAGATAAAAGACGAAACCATGGAGACCCACCATGATCTGATAATTCTCAGTCTTTTTCTGGTTCTTTAATTATTTTGATCCGCTGAAAGGTTTTTAAAGTTTAGGTTAGCTGGAGAGAATCCGGGTTTTGAAGAGTGGAACTAACAGAAGGAGGGAATTCATTCATGATTTTTGCAATGCATCAAGCTAAAACAATCATCCTAACAACAAACAAAGCCCTATAGGTAGTGCCAGCAGCCTGTGCTACGGCCCTGCACAAAGACCTGTTGATCTGTGGAAGAACGACGCCGCAGCAGCCCGCCATAGGCAGCCCGTTCAAGAAAAATGCTGAGGTGGTCGCAAACGCCGAAAAGTCTCGATAATGCCAAGAGAAGCTGGAGGACATGAAGACGAAGATGGTCACGTGCAGCGGTGCAGGGTCGCAACATGGGAGGGTGTTTCATACATGCTTGTAATCATGGCAGTGACAAAAACTTCTGCTGATTGTTTCCTTTTCAGCAAGACCCTAAATAGCAACAGAACTGGTTAAAAACATCAGATATAGGTCTGCTACAGAGTTCCTTTCATCATGTACTGAAGAATCCTATGTGCAGTCATAACTTCTTTAAACGTGTGCGGGCGGGCGCTTCGACGTTGACACACACCGCGTCGTCGTCTTCTTATCATTACGTTTCACCCTTCTCGCTCCTACAAACAAACGTTCGAATGCTCGCGCACCTCGAAGGATGATCAATGCTGTACACGGACACTGTTCGCGTTCAAAATCCCACGGAAACTTGAACCCGATAATAGAGATTAGTCGTTCGTCACAAACGATTTCAACATAACTGCCAGCTTCACCAGAAAGAACCACTGAATTCCCGAAGCCATTTCGTCGTCTGTTACAAGGCAAAACCGGTCGAGATGACAGAAAGTCTTCATATTAAATATTGAGAAGATATAATGACTACAAACATTATTCATTGTTCTATCAGACAAAGTCCTAACCTGCCGTCGAATACCAATGCATTTGCGCCTAACAACGGCCCTAACAACGGTTTGTTTAGAACACAGCACCATGTTGTGACGTCATCATTCGCTAATCAATTTGTTCTGCGACGGATATTGCGTGGAGAAAAAAACGTGCTTCATATGTTATGGATGTCAAAGAAACATTCTAAGCGGTATTTACTGAAAGTAAAACAAATTGTTGCATCGTCTCAAATTTTGCCATGCGGCAGGGGTACGAAATTCGGGGCTACGCGTTCGATGGATAGTACATTTCATTTTTGCGTGTGGCAACTGCATCGATTCCACACGGAAACATTTATTGAAATCAGCTGGAAATGACATTCACTATAGAGTCTGGTCTTCGGGAGAGCACACATGTGCCGCACGGCAAACTTTATTGTCACATCCATTGAAGGTTATTCCAACCAAGATGTGCATTTCATTTTTGCGTCTGGCAACTGCATCGATTGTTTTCTACCACACGAAAACATTTAATGAAATAAACTGGAAATGACATTCGCTGCAAACTGACCTTCGGGAGGAGATACCTCTGCCACACGGAAAACTTTAATGCCAATTCCATTGATGGTTCTTCCAGCTTCGAATGACGTTAATAGCGACCCTTCGTAGATCGCTCCCCTTTGCTAGCGGGAGCTCGTGCCGCCACTTCGAGCGCAGATTGAGTATGCGACCGCAAGGCTCGAAATTCTCAACATATCGACCTGAAAAATATCTCTAAGTGTGCACCCTGCGTAATCTTGCCACTCATTGTTTCATAACCTTTAACTCCCTGGTGGTTGGCTAATTCGCCAGACTAAACTACTTGGGCTCCGCATATAGGAAAGGAAACGCCGTTTAAAGGTTGACAATGTTTGCGACATTAATCAAATGTAACAGTACTCATAATTTACTGTTAAACGTACCAATACTCCTTCGTATTACAAAGTTAACGGGGCTATGCAACAATAACATTTTGAAATATGCTGGGAACAATAAGCTTTACACGAGCTTATTGGCACTAGTGGGACCCAAGTATGTTCGCCAGCAACGCCACTGACCAAGAAATTTCTTCACTGCGGTGTAATTTCAATGATTAAAGCGAGCGTTTTCCTTCAATCTCTCTTTCGCAAATCTTGATGATGTAGCTCGGAGGTCCCAGTGATGGGAGCAAGGTTAGTTGGCAGGCCCCCGAGTGACGATATTTGAACGCGGTTCATTGATTATACCCAACTATATCTTGAGCATAGGAAAAGGGTCTTGATAATCAAGCTCGGCAAACATGCGGGTAGTGACCAGGGGGCAGATTTATGGGTGAGGCTTAGGGGACTTCGATCTGCAGATTAAGCACGTTCATCGGCAAAAAATGATGCAGCAGGCTTTCGCTTCGCCTTACCTCATTTAGCCCGCGCTCACACTTGCGGAAATTTCTCCTGCCGCCTACCGAATGTACTAGGCGGAAAAAGAAGGCGCCGTTCACATTTCTTGCCGCTCGCTGTGTTCGCGCGACTCCGGTCTCTGGGGAATATCACAGCAGACTTACCCTGGCTCGAGTGGTGTTCGAAAAGATATCTCGCAGACTTTGTCTGGCAGTTAACGCTAGCACGCAGTGTCGAGACAATGCTCAACATTCTCTCGGCGATACAAAAAGGCAGTACTAATAGAACGAGCAAACGGAAACGTCGTGTGTACGTACCAATCACGCCAATTTTATCATATAGATCTTCTTTGTGGGCGCTGTCTTCGTTGCTAAGATGCCTCTCGTCAAACGGGGTTGAATAATTTCGTCTCGATCTTTCGGCAGAATGCCGCCAGCGAGGCGGCGTCATGCGCAACTTGGGAACTCCGACAACTCCGGCGGCAACCTCAACAACTCGGGCGACTCTATATAGGTCAAGATGTGACGCTCGGAAGCTCCATTTCCTCCGTGCGTTCCAATTGACTGCGGCGCCGTGCACGTCGCCGCAGCCGGGAAATATCGGTAGCGGACCGATTGCTCCTGCGGCCGATTATTCGTCGCCGGCGAGGGGATTCCCCCTTCCGGCGTCAGTTTCGCCAAAGATTTGCCTGCGAATCCGCATGTGTGAACGAGCCATTAGATCGGAAAGTATGAGCCATGATCCCGCCCTGTTTTCTAGATCGTCTTCCGATTTCGGCCGTTCTTAAGCCTGAATGGACGGCAGCAACTGTTGCCAAGACACCGCCTCTTGAAGGAAAACGACAAAAAGGCATATATGTGGTTGAATCGTATTCATTTCGAGTTGACTTCACATATCTATGCAATTATTAATTTGTATAAATGACAAAATGAAAACGCGTAGATTGGGTTTTACCTTAACTAATATTTCTAACACAAGCGGCACAGTGTTTGTTAAGCCCAAGCCTATTAGGTTGAATTTTCACTTTATTATTTTCGCTCGCTGGCTGTATTGGCGCTGCAAGCTAAAAAAGCAAGCATGTCACTCTATACTTCGTTTCAGCTTCGGTCCGAGCGTGGCCGATGTTATTAGCCAAAGGGCCAATCAAACAGCGAAAGAGGCACAACGTCATGGCGTGCTCTCCGCAGTTGATAGGACCAGCCGGTATTCGCCGTCTCTCTGTGCGCGCTCCTCCGCCGGCTAGTCCTATCAAGCGCAGAGAGCACGCCATGACGCGGCTCTTTTTACGCTGTTTGATTGGCCCTTTGGCTTATAACGTCGGCCGCTCTCGGACCGAAGCTGAAACGAAGTATAGGCATAAAAAAACCTATTTTAGAGGGTGCCAGCAAAAAAAAAGTGTACATGATTTTTTTTTTAACGCAAAAATAAACTAGGCATCGCCGAACGCTGATTCTCTGCCCAAAGGTTCCGCTAGAGATTACAACCAGATGCCAAAGTTTCACCCGATCCGACACCTTATTCAAATGTTATAAGTGATCTTCTAAAAAGTTCGTTGTGAAATTGATGACCGACGGAGTTTTCGAATACATGGGGCTCTATGGCACCAGAAACCGGAAACGGACAAAAATGCGCTCCATTTTCCCATTGAAATTTTCAGAAAATCACTTATCAGTTATAGCTGGGGGCGGTTTCATTTGGATTCAAGCAACGAGGGGCAGTCGTATTTTTTATTTTGCTTCAAATTTTTATATTTCGTGGTGCATGTTCCAAGTAGAACAATCCTTTTTATCCTGATTTCCTGGACATGTTTAGTTTCTGAGAAAAAAAAATGTCAAAGAAGCGGGAAAGAACGACGAGGTTTTGACGATTGTCGTGTGCGGCGTTGTTTGAATCCCTTGGTTGCATTGATGCGGGTGGACTCGGTGGAGCAAGCGGAAGAACCATCGCCCTTGACGTCAACTGCAACTCCAGAGCCACAATGATGACCGACTCGCAGAAAGCCTGCATGTAATTACGCCCGAGGTACCCTTGGACGGCCGACGTTAGGCATCCTAAAAACAAAAATCAATCATAGAAATACATGTCGTTTGGGCCCCGGGACACATGGGGCACACAGGAAACGTGGCGGCAAATGCCGCATCCCGAGCAGTTCTCAACCGGGACTCGCCTCCATGCCCTGAGAGTTCGTCACCAGACATGCCGTCGAAAACTTACTTCGCGACTCAACGTAAAGCGAGGCTGGAGTTTCCACTACCACACAAAAGCCTAAACAAAGAGGAAGAACCACCCCTTGAGAATATTACGAACGGACGCGATCATCACATCAGCAAAACTTCACACATGGTATCCAGAACGCTTTCTCACGCCGAGATGTCCCTTCTGCAACGCACCATGTGCCGACGTGCATCACCTAGTATGGGTATGAAAGCAGATACCAGGCCTTAAACCAACTGAAGAACGTTTAGAGAGGAGTGGGATGCAGGACTGCGAAGCGAGGATGCCGACAAGGAACACATGCTTGTACGAAGAACTGTCGTAGTCACCACTGCAATTCGAGCCCTGGACTAAGGGCACCCACCTATATTCTCTACTACTTTACTTCCATATCCCACTTTTCTATTCGATATATCGTTCAACAAAGTTTTTATCAACAACAACATCTCTAAAATCGAGACAACTATGGCCACAATCATTTTAATACGTGTAGACCCGTTACCATGTGGGGAGGGAATGGAGAAAAGTAAATAGGAAATCGGTTTTCTTCCCTACAGAAGACAGTACTGTAGGTCGGCTTTTAAGTGTGAGCTCTGCTTTAGTATGCACGAAGTCAACTCTGCTAAGTTACACCGCGGTGTAGCGCGTCGGACGCACTTTTGGTCTAGGGCTGTGGGCGGAAATCACCATGCCGCACGGGCATTCCTGTGGTGTTTTGGAAGCAACCATACTAAAACCAGCATTCTCGTCAAAACGCCTCGAATGCACCTCTACTCAAAAAGCCGGGAAAGGTTTGAAGATCATTTCCCACGTGTTTTCTGTGCGCTAGGTTCGCCCGAGATTGCGGTTAGGTGCTGTGAAAGGAAATCCAGACACCGTCGGAACGCGATTGCTCGCGCGCAAAGCACTTAAGGGTGAAATTCACGGATAGTTCTG